TCACTGATAGAAAAGATACAGAATGATAGATTAATTGAGATTTATTGGGAAAAAGATGAAATCAAACAAAAAAAGAGAATTCAAAGGATAAAAAAAAGAAAGTCTTCCTGTGAGACTCGAACCACTATCAAACAGACAGAAGTAGGAAGCACCCCCCGGAATGAACACGATAATATGAAATGAAAAAATAAAAGAGATGGGACGATTCCCCCGAGACATTCTATGAAGCTGAGGCGGCGAATCGGCTTACGTTACGGTTAGAGATTTCGGCTCTTCCACGCTATCCCGAGTGAACATAAAACTTAGTCTTAACCAAAAGGCCAGTGAGTGAGGGGGTAGCCGCCCACTAGAGCATACCTTHAGCTACCCTCTTAGACCATCGTACTATGAAGACACTTATTAGGTATCTAATATCTAATTGGGGTAGTCTATTCGGTGAAGTTCTATTGTTATGGTAATCATGACGTCAAATCCTACGTGTCTCGATGCCCAATCAGATTTGAGTATGTTTGAGCACCGATGATAATTCCGGAGGGACTGGGTTTGTCTCTTCGGCGATGTTTATTGTGATTAAAATGTAAACAAACAATTCTCAAAGGAGGGAAGAGCCAATGGGCATTTAATAAATCTTACTTATGTATTCACCATATGTAACTTGCGAAAAATCAAGCCAAAATTTGATCAATAGCTTTATAAACATCTATACCCGACAGGCTCATGTTTGGGAGCTTTCTATGGCACGGCTAAAGTACACAAGTTWAAAGAAGGAGAAGGACTTGAGGAACTCACCCTACGACCTATCGGTACAGCTACATATCATCTAGCCAAACACCTTGCTAAATTATTGTCTCCTCTGGCTACATCTGAGTTCACAATCCAGAACACCAAAGAATTCGTCACAAAGATTCGATCTGAAACTTTGCCAAGCGATCACGAATTGATATCGTTTGATGTTGTTAGTTTATTCACGAATGTCCTACTTGATCGCACAATGGATATCATACGAACACGTATCTATGATGACAAAGAGATCCATACCAACTTGTCCAGTTTAGAACTTCAACAAYTGCTCACCCTATGCACAAAACAAGTCCCGTTTTCATTTAATGACGAAATCTACATCCAAWATGACGGAGTCGCAATGGGATCCCCCCTCGGACCTGTAATAGCCAACATCTTCATGGTACAGTTGGAACGTGAGACTATCCCGAAACTGACTGGAACTTTATCACGATGATTACATGGAAAGACCAAGATAATAAATTCGAAACCACTGTCCATTGAAAAACAACAAACACGGACCTGTACATACACTGGGACTCACCAGCTCCCAATTCATGGAAACGAGCCACTCTTAAAGGTCTGGTTAATAGAGCCTTTACAGTTTGCTCTGAACAACAACTATTGGACAAAGAACTCGAACACCTAAAAACAACCTTCAAAGAAATTAATGGTTTCCCTAACAAAGTTATCAAGAAAACCATCAAACAAGTACAAAATCAACAAACAACTCGTGATCCACTACAACTACCAGATAACACAGAGACGCAGAAGACCTTGTACATCTCACTACCTTTTGTAGGCCAAATTGGTACAAACCTGATCAAACGACTCAAACATATGGTACCGAAATACGTATCAGAAAATATCAATATTAACTGTGTGTATAATGCTAAAAAACTGGGCTCTAAGTTCCCGACCAAAGATAAACCACGACTTCAACACAAGCATAACGTCATACAAAGCCACGTGCCCTGATGATCAATGCTCAGCCACATACATCGGGGAGACCGCTAGACGATAGAAGAACGCATCCAGGATCACGGAACTAGAGATAAGAAATCAACAATCTACAAACACAGCGAAACAACACATCATGAACATGTCAACGAAAGTAACTTCCAAATATTAGCCGAACACTATGCTTGGGAACAGAAACGAAAAATCGCTGAAGCTGTCCTTATAAAAGAACATAATCCTGATCTTAATGAGCAAGGACAATCAGTTCCTTTGAAATAATATTGAACTGAACGATAACATGCAATCTCTAGAGAATATTTATTATTGTAATTTATTTAACTTTATAGTCAGGTTAATACACTGATGATGGACGATGGATGTCGTCCGAAATATTTGTATTTAAAGAAACTTCTTGTTATTCTCTTCGTCTATAAAATCTTAACCCAGTCAACCAACATCTTCATATGTAACTTGTTTTCGTCGTCCATCTTTGAGGAACTCACAAGGCCTTTGGAGGGATCTAGCTAGTCGCGAAGAAGGACCCCCGCGAAATTAATGTCTTACGAATATTTAAAGATA